CAAGAGGCATCTAAATACTTGGATGCGAAAAGTTCCAGTAAATATTATCAGCACCCTTCCTCGTCTTTGGTATCTTAAACAGATTGTTCACGAACTGTATTAGTCAAACTATAAAATCGCAGAAGAAGTTCGACTTATATAGTTAAAATAAGGCCCTTAAAGCAAATAGTGACACTCAAATCCTATGTCGCAATGGCTAAAGGTGTATTCTGGACGAGGGCGCCAACTGCCCCATCAACAGGTCAATTTTACGTCTGGATTAATAAACCACAGTATTACGTGAATCGATAGCTCTCTGCTGACAAAGTCCTTTTCACTGTTCGTGTCAAAATATGCAAGGACAGATAACGTTCGACTGAATGGTGTCAAAAAAAAAAAACTCAAAACTGGGCCTATATTGGACGCATATGCCGCGTAAATATCATGGCATTTTTTCAGCATCTGTAAGAGCAATTATTAAAAGCAATTTATAAAGCGGTTTCCGTTATGCTTGAATTTTTATTAATTTATTCGAATTCAGAATCTGCTTAGTTGAATTCCACTGTTGCCTTCACAGATGAATGGATGCAGAAGTGTTTGGGTTTTCGCTAGCAAAGTCCTTGTTCCAGAGCCAAAGGCCGCTACATGCACAGAAAGCGAAATATGCTAACCAGTTATAATTGATAGAAATGAAGAGAACGAATATTGCAATAAAGAAGTAGTATATCTTAAACGATCGTCTGTCATAGTATAGGAGGAGAGCTTGGCTTGTTTAGTCACGGTTCAGACTATAATATGGATATGATGATTTGAATTTACATTTCATAGGACACCTTGAATTATCAAAAAGCTGCGACTTAAAGATTAAAACGTATTACAAAAATGTTTGTCCAGTATAACCCAGTGTAGAGCAACACACAGGGAACAGGTAGTAAAGGAGATATAATATAATACTACGGTTATTATCTCGGTATCGTGATATTTTACAATCAATCGAAAACTAAAGCAGACTCTCAGTATTTCAACAGAAATACTTATCTCCGGCCTGAGGAGCAAAAAACTGCAATTAAGGACCGCTGGAATCGGCCAGGGCAGTCAATCAATAATAGCGTCTTTTTCTTTCTTTACAAAACCTAACAAACCGTGTTACATATGTAGTCGGTAAATCTTCCTGTTTCAATTGAAGGTAAATAAGAAGCCAGGGTAAGCCACTTAAATTACGTTAACTTAAGTTACGTAAGCTGTGGAGGCCACTGCTGAAAAGTGGTGTTCCGGGGATCATTTTGAGAAGTTTAACAGTACCCATCACTTCAGAATATGCGTAGATGGCTCCGAGTTTTCAAACGGCCCTGTGACTAGTTTTTAATATTGTTTCTATAGCTGCTTGATGCCCATGGGTAATACTTCGATAATTAAAAATTATAATTTTATTATTAATTATAATTTTTATTGAAAAAAATAATAATCGGTCAATATAGTTGGAAAATTCGCTCTTCTTGTACAAACAGAGTATCTTGATTATGCTGTTTGCGTAGGGTCAATTTCAGAACACACAGATGTGGTAAGTCAGTTGAAACTAGTGACGCCCAATTTAAAGGTGGATAAAATTTTAAGCAATATAGTTTATGACGGTCACGCTATCTGAATGTAGTTCTTTGTTACGTCATAGATACAGAGTCAACTTAGATAAACAAAAAACATTTAATAAATAATATACATTTTTTTGTACCGATACCGACTGATTCAGACAAACTGAATGCATCTTCTATGAATAGTAACAAAGAAAAAAAGATCGTTTGTTAGTAAAATGTCTTCAAGCTCGCACGTTAAAATGCAGAATAGACAGAACCAGTACGTGGAGGCAGTACGCGTACGTTTCATCGTTCTTATTTGGAGGCCATTGTCCGCCTTCGATTTGTCTACGAACGCGTTCAACTGGCTGTACGCTCACGACGCGCTTAAGCTAAATCAAGTTAGACAATCGTGGAATTGTCCTGATACACAAATCTGAACAAAGAAAAACACCGTTCAAATAGAAAAACTATATAGTTAACAGTTTGATCAACGACATTCAAGGCCTGGAAGGACCATTATTATTCAAAACATTCGATTTAACAATTAAATAAGTACAAGCATAATACGCAGGTGCAAATACATGAAGCCCTATTACATAGAGTGATACAATTATATGAAATCCCTATTGGCTCATTTACACTCTGGTTACTGCTCTTGTCGTCCAGCAGACAAATTCATCACAGAACATCTTAACCCACCTTTTTTTTCCATGTAGCTTTTTACCAAAGACGGCTTTGAAACTTTAACACTTATCAATTTAAATAACAATATTGAGAAATCGTATTCATATCCAAGTTTTTATTCTATTTTGGCATGGCATCTTAATGAAAAACGCTTTCTATGATATTTTCTGCGTAACTTGTGCCAGTCAAGATCGCAGTGGCGAGTAACTACTATAATACGTCTCCAGGTCGTTTGTGGCGTTTTCGCTTAGAAATTCGTGCGGGAAGGGCATCCAGATCACCCACAAAATCCATAAGGTTGCTGTAAAAAAGTGCGGGCCGCTATAAAACATCTATCTCTATAGCCTCTAATTTATTATCACTTTTAGATACATTTTAACTCTACTAATTTAAGCTATTTCATGAATCGTGCATAGGACGAGCCAATTATCGAACATGCGGCCGTTTGAATCGGCTGAAAGGTGCAAGGCTTCTACAAACCTAGCGTAGAGCGGTAATTGTTTTTCGAGTCGAGGTTCGTCCGGTTTAGTATGGTTTACGATGTGACCCGGGCTAGACAACAGACGTCGGAAGCAGCTACAGACCTGGGTCTAGAAGAAAACTGGCCTGTCTTTTTTTTTTATATTATCGATTTCTGCTTTTTGGTTTTCTTAGATCGTTCAGATTTTCGCTAAAAGTATATTTTGCGTAACTTTATTGTTCCCCCCATTCCCCAGTGTTGCTTATCGCAACAGAGCCAAAGCTTACTGCAGTTGATGCCAGCCTACGAATTCAAATTTTCTGGTAATTTAAAGTACATGAAAAATCAGGCGTCCCGTTTCACAGACATGCCTTTCCTTCGTTCTTAGTCTTTTAGAGGCCTTCTTGGTGATTACCTAGCGTTTGCCTCCTAATAATCCTCAGACCCCACCTTCTCCGCTCCCGTGACATTTAATTTCGTGGCGGGTTGCTGGCTCGAACCCTGGCAACTAGATATGCCACAGTACACGTGTGCTTAAATTAAGAACAACATTCAATTTTATTTATACAACAGAAAATTTTCTCGGTATCTGCCACACTTATTTCAAGCAATCTAATTGTACACTTATGGCCAATCTAGCCTCAAAATTGTTCGATTTTGTTAATGACTTTTATAGAATCAGGCAAGTCAGACATACAGAAAGAAGACTTGAAGTTTTTAACAGTCACAAATCCGAGAGACCTGTTGACCCACTGTCCAGCTAACTTGCAGATATTCAGCAGGTTAATTTTGCTTAACGATAGTACTAGACGTAATGAAACAATTATTAGGCCAATGCGGAACAGTGCATATACCACATTACCCAGAGCACCTAATAACTTCAGCGCTGAAGTTCTTTGTGCAAATTTCGACATCAGCCAAGTCTCCTCGAAAATCGCTTTAAATTGAGGAGAAAAAATGGCTTCCGTGGAAGCATAGCGCCACCAACACTAACGGAAAATCCCTTCTTCTTTTAATTTGTTAGAAATGATAATAGCGGCGAAATAAACCATTTCTAGCCGGATAGTAGGTATTTATAAAATATAACAACACCGAGTATAAGCCGTCAGTGGTCATACTGATCAGCGTAATACAAACAGATCTGGTCGTAGTGTATCAATGACGCTGCATGCTAGCTAGCAACATGAATGCCACTTTTCCCTTTTGAATTTTTTCTAATCATTGATAACAGTCAACCAACGAAAACAGTTATGTTCGACGATCTGACGCTAACGGGTATCACGTTCCTCCCACGTGCAGATGCGTGCAGAGCTGGACATGCTATTGGAAGTGTATGATGCCTTTTGACTGTTTGGAACGCAGATAAAACCTCGGCCGATTGGTGTCAAACAGCGATATGTAGAGTGGATGTACACTGTGCATTGGATGCAACGTTGAGGAGAGAAGTTGATACGGGGCAAAGACGCCTACGGAAAGACCTAATAACCCCCAAGTGTAAATGGGGATTGTTACAGCTGTTCCTAATAATAATAATAATTCAGTAATAAAGCAAACATATAGCAACTATTAGCCAAAAAGAAAGTAAGCTTGCCAACTTTTCAAAGCGTTTTGACCGCTCACTCCACAGCTTCTGTTCGCTTATTACTAAGGCGTATATAGCTATTTGTCTAACAAATATACGTCCGCCCGGTATAGAAGATTCTTCCGGCTCATGTTAGCTGCAAAATACATATATACATACGTCAATTTATCGACCTGGAAACGCAAAGGGCATTCTTTACCAAAGGCCAAGTTATGAATGAAATATGCCTCTATGACCTTATGGACGGCTACAGTGGCACTGAAAGTGGTAGCCAAACAGAAATAAACATTCGATTTTTCCTGTCACCACTTTTTGACGTCCACCTAGAGTTTTCGTTGGCTGACCGCTACGACGAAGTCGCGAACCGCGGGAGGAGGTCGTGTACATTGACAGTGGCGAGTCAATCAACACAACGACACAGGTTTGACGTTGATGGTTCACCAAAGCTGGTGGCGCCATCAGCTGGACGCATCGCGAACCAATCACACAGACATTTGTAACTATTCTCTGTCAACTATATGTATGTCAGTAGTTTTGCTGGTCGCAGTTTACGATGAATCCATCCCCGCTGCCGATGAATTAAAGAAGTGCTCGCTGCGAGAGAACCGGTCCGCCAGCTCGGTTCGCTTCGGCTAGAATAGATCCACACACAATAATATAGACCGAATCGCTGCCGTCGGATAGTCGACGTTAACCATCTGTGAACGAATCTGTGCACAGCTTCGCTATCTCAGCACGTTCCGGGCCTCTAGTTCCTCCTCGCCACTTCTTCTTGTCGGACGACTCTGACAGTCGAAGCAGCAGCAACTTCGCGGCCACAGTTCTTGCCGTAGCTATCAGACAGATAGGTCGAGCGATCACTTGGGGGGCCAACAGGTTGAGGGCTCACACACACAACGATACGCCGCCGACGACGACGACGACAACTAACTATGTGAGCGTCTACCCCGGTGAAGGTGCTCATATACTGGTGCACCAGCTTGGCTGGTGCCGCTATCATTGCTGTGTTTACCGTATGCCCGCTTCAGCTTTACGGCCGTATTTTCATCGTTCATAACAGCCACGTTACGGTGGTGCCTCGACCGCTTAGCGAGCGAACGAGTGAGTGAGTGGAGCCGCACGCGGGGCAGGACGGGACAACGAAGCGCCGGCCACCAGCAAAGAGCGCACAGATTGTTTAGTAAGTGTGCGGCGTGCGACTGCGTCAAACGTCGAACTGAGCCGTGCGTTATTCGTTGGTTGACGCTTCACGTTGCCGCTCAGCAGAACGACCGGCGAACAGTCGAAAACCTGACGCAGATCGACAAAAGCAAAGAGTGGAACGGATTTGCCCGAGACAAAGACCGAGGACCCCGCGCCGGCAATGGTTGCGCCAATGGCATCAGGTCGCGCTGGTACCAGCAGAGCAGACGACTGATCGAGAGACAGCCTGACAGGACAACGGCTCGCACCGCACACGCTTTTTTGACAGCAGCCGGCGCTTATCGACAGTAAACTGCAGCAGCAGTAGCAGCAGCGGCAACAGCAGCAGCAGCAGCACCAGCAGCAGCAGCAGCAGCAGCAGCAGCAGGAACTGCAAGCAAGCTGGAGGAATCCGTGGCGGCAATGGCTGGCGAGCACAGCAGTGCAACGTGGCACCGAGGTAATCTAGTGCTTTTACCATAGTTAGGGTTGGCGGCTCCAATATCTAACAGCCGCACGATTACCTGGCACATCTAATTTGCTTACGTGCGATTGGTTCCGACGTCGGCTAACTTCAATAGTGGACTTTCTTCGATACATCCTTAGATGATACAACTGCTACGCACGGAAACGGAAGCTCGAAGCTAGAACGGATAGCGTTAGTTCCAATGTGTAACACTATGGCTGTCGCATCTTCTAACCTATCGTTTAATGTCGTATCGTGAGCGTCGTACTATCGTCGCATGAGTTCAACGAGTCCATAGTAACTTATCATTGCAAACGTGCGATTTCGAATATTTCTGAGTTCGTTATCATCGTACTTGTTTGTAGAAGGAAGAATTAGATTATCGTGCAGTATTTAGCGTGCCGATGTGAACCCCGACTATGTTCATCTAAGAAAGGAAGAACGTGCATGCATTTCTGGTTATTATTGCTATTCGGTCGATGTGCCTTTTCCATAGCAGTGACGTGCCATTCCGAACAGGATGAGAAGCTGACCTTTACAGCCGAAGCTTGTTGGCGTTTTTCGCAGCCCGGATGATGGTCGTTACAGCATGTCTGAGGTGTTCTGAAGCCTATGGGACCACCTCTAGTCCTGTAATGGAAATGTGGTACCCCTAACCCTCCACGGCGAAAAACAACGAAGAAAGATCGACCATAGTAAGAAGCCGAGCAGGACGAAGGAAGTGTGACTGGGAAGTTTGCAGATTCGGAGATTGGTGATGTTTGGACGTGCTAGTTGTAAAATAGCAAGTGGCCACAAAGGCCAAGGAAAGAATCATAGATAAATATCCCATATTGAACAAATCGAGATGAGGCGGGGTCTGCTTCCTGAACTCGTGGTGCTGAGGAATACGGATAGCTAACTTTACCGTTGGTGATCGTTGTGCCCAACAGGCAACAGTCAGAAAATCAAAAGTGAGTTCATCTAGTATTCATTGAGTGACATCGGCACATACAGTCTCGTATATTTCGAAGCGCTTAATGAAACGGGTAGCAGTCTTGTTCACGTTTCGGTGACAGGTAGGTTGACACATTTGACGACGGCCTCAACCTTACAAAGATTCACAAGCCATGTCTAATCGCTTATTTCGAACCCATCTAACCATACGTAACGGTATCGTATTTGTTATTACATGCACGAAAACAAACAGAAGCAACAATTCGCCGTGTGCCGAACACCATTTAACCGAATCCTACTTTTCTAGCTGTACATACGACTAGAATTACATGAACTAACGCCTTTCTGCTTGCGTCGTCGGTTAAGAGATCTAGTGGAAAAAACATCAGTTAATAATCATTCACTGTTATTTATTCTGTTGAATTGCTATACATTTATAACCAGACACGGTGATGAAGCCGTGTCGACTGAGCCGTGACTATTGTTGCGTCTGTCTGTCTCTCTGTCTGTACAAATCGAAAACACGTTGGCCAGGACGGATGCTGACGAAAACGTGCGACCGATCAGTCGTTGTCCTGTTGCTACGGTCCTCCCTGCTCGGGCGTTCATTATCATGTATTCTTCTCGCAGGCCACTTTCTATCGTCCTATATAATCAAGCAACAGAGAACATCCTAAGTTATTTCACATGTACGGCTATGTATTCGAAAACAAATCGGCAAAAAGATCCGCTTATCTGCGGCACCTGGCCGTTCCTGACTGAGTGGCCTACTACTGTGATGTGGAATCAGACGAAGGCAATATCTTCAAACGGTGCGTAACGAGCTGACACTAAAGTGAAGCTTGGATTCGTATTGTCATAGCAATTACCGCTGCTTATTCATTTACATTTTTTACGTGATTTTATGTTTTTAGATAAAGTCGCTCGAGTGCTCATGATGGATAGACGCAAGCACATCCTCTATACTTCGACATTTAACGTCTGTGGTCTAACACTGATCAAACTCTAATTTTCGTCCTCTGATTCCAATTGTCCTAGTACTGTTTTCTTATCTACATAGGCCAGCCACAACCGACTGCCGCTGTAAAAACTGACATTTTCTCCATAGCGCATTACGCCGTACCAGTTAGCAGACATAGGTTGTGCGATACGTGCATACTACTTTCTGTCCAGCAACATCCGACTTTAGCCTCGGTCACTTATTTGGCCGCGGCGGTTTTTCGAATGTCTATATAGTGCTATTGGTAGCAGCAGTCTATGCGATGGTCCCATTTTTCGAATGGTGGGTCGTCGTCCGCCGCTTCATCGGACGCGGTCTGGCTGGCAAGGTGTGTAACTATTCGTCTCTCCGCTGGGAGCCCCACAGTACGAAACGTCGACGACACAGCGAGCGTAGATTGGGTTCGAGCATATGTTTATATGTAATTTGTGTGTCTATGGACTGAGGAGAAGCGGGCCTGGGTCCGTCACCATGCGGAGACCAGGACATTCAATCAGAACGAATGCCCCGTCTATCTAAACTGCATTAAGCCTTTGAAATTTTTTCGGCCGTCATTCTCAGCCTCCCCTTACCCCCTCCCCAGCATTGTCATTGTAATCGCTACCACTGAAAATCATTGGGTTCCACTTCCACCGCGTCTATATGCGTTTCGTTACGCGTTTCCGAATTGACGGATCGTTCGTGTTGCTGGCAAGTAGACGACGACGACGACGACGGCGGCGGCGACGGTAGCCACGGGTGGTCGAAAGTAAAAGAAGTCGCCAGTACTCAATGAGCGAATTTGTTTGGATTGCGTAACACGACCAAGTACGTTTCCTGGCATAATATATAGTTGTTCTTATTTTTTTTTTTGTCCTAACATAGGTAACAGCAACATAAGAATCTACATAGAATAGGAAAGAGAACGATATGGTATGTCTGCTTAGGTTCTTGCGGCAAGATCTTTACTAATAGTGCGAACTGTTTGTTGAACATTGTACGTGATCCTGTATGCAGCGCGTTGTCTCAAGAGGGCTCTTTCTCCCAGAAAATTGGCAGTCGGCCACCTTGACTTGGTGTGGATGATCCTGCTTATGGACGATAGTCTGCGCGGTTGAGTACCTATGATAATAAGTATTGCTTAAAAAGTATCTAACAATACGCATGCCAGTGCCAATGCGATTTCTGAAGCTCGCGGAATGGTCTCGCATGTTGGCCAGTTAGGACAGAACGTAGTACGTAATATCTATATACTTCATGGGCTTTGAGGTGCGCGGCTGAATGTGAGGCTACTGGATACATTTGCCAGATATACACAGAAGACAATGATTTTCCTTAATGGAGGCTTAAGCTTAATAAAAATAAAAGAATAAGAATCAAAGCAATGCTGGTGACACAGGAAATTGTTAAAGTAGACATAAATTAACTTTTTGTGTAGATGTTTCCAAACTATGTGTAGTTAGCCTTTCAAACAGGGCGCCATGATAGGGCCAATTCATCTGGTAAAGATCTCGTATGGCGTCTTGTACATTGATATTTTACTATTTGATGATGCATTGAAAAGTCTATTTGCTGCATTGGTCAATGACGGATTCTGAAGTCTGAGACGGAACGTCTGATCTGTAAACATATGAAAAACTTAATAATCATACTTCACTATGTTATAACACTAACAACATTAACCAATCAATAAATTGTTTTTTATTGAAGAACTTTTTATTAGAGAATAACGAAGTTATGTAGACTAATAAAATCAGTGAACCGTCTAAAACTATCGATATAAAAATTAAGTTAAACTAAATATTTGCAATTAAAATTATTATTAAGTTAAGTAGTGATAATAATGGTAGTATGTTAGGAGAACAGGGGGCAAGGCCGGAGCTTGTTTTACAGAACAAAGAGCTTATTCGCTCAACGATATAGTACGGTACTAGCCTCTAATAGCCTCACTGACTTATAGAGAACCCCTGTGCCTATATATCAAGGCCAAATAGCCCGTGCGAAACATCTCTTCTTGTATCTAATGTTATATTATATATCATTATTAGATTGAATAGAGATGGCGGACTCTACAAAGGACCGTACATGCCTATTTCGTTTTAATTGTTTTCGCCTCAGGGGATACATTTCGTGTTATGCTGAAGCGAGCCTGCGACGTGGAGTAAAGAAATATACGGTAGAAAATTCAGCTTCCATCTTTCGCTGACAGATCGTGTATACGTTAAGCTTTGAACCTAGAGATTGGTTAACGTAACTACAGATATACTATAGTTGTCTGTTATGATGCTGTTAATAGCAGAATTAACACGAGGGGGTAAAGTGGGTATTGGAACAGACAATGTAGGAGTGGGGTTCGAAGAAGAAGCAGCTACATTAGTTCACCATAGAATAAAACAGCCCAAACGGGTCATTAGTGGGCTAGCATCTTGTATACTGAATAGGAATTGGCAGTGTTTTAATTTTGATCTGCTTAAATTCATACTTCGACTACAAGCAAACGAAGCTAGCTAATGGATGTAGATCCGGCGTTCGGATATATTATAGCAATGTTTTTCTGCTGTTTTCAGCTCATATTATTTCAAAGTACTCTTTGACGCACAATCGATAAGACTGCCGCTGAAGAACATTTATCATCTGTCGCTCTTCACCATAGCGCTACCTCGCGAAACTTCAGCTACATATCATGTGGTCAAGTGGTTTCTGCTAATCAATCAGTCAATGAATGACTATGGTTATTTTCATGTCAGATTTGTTACGTGACATTTTATGATGGTGTATCAAAATGCTTTTTATACCAGCGCGTGGGTTACAAATGAATTAGCATTATGCACGTCTATATGTTCTTTCCCGTTATTATGTCGCTTGTCACGTTAAGCATCTGTACCGCCACTGATTCGCGCATCTTTTGGTCCACGTGCTGCTGCTGCTGCTGCTATTAATATTCCCCTTTTTCCTGTATGTGGGTTTGCGTTATGACAACCCTGGGACATACCATGATCACCGTCATCGCCCCTTTTGCTGTGGGCACCACCAGCTAGGGGCAAGAAGCTGTTGGGCTGTGGCCCTATCCGCTGATATTCGATTGCCCTTTCGAACATCATTCTTTCGGTTCGCAATCGGTTACATCGACAGGCAAATTAGTGGCCCTTCGTTGATTCAGATGTCAGTAACTCGCAGTGAACAACTTCCGTTGGTATGGCACGGTGCCTGTAGCGTGCCACGTCTACCGTCATTAATCTATATTAAAATGATTAGAAGTTGCCTAGTGTCGATGACGATACTGCCGCTTTTGTTACGATTCAAAGGTGTTGCGTTTAGCAGCGATTCAGCCAGGAGGCCGGTCCGGTGACCGGTCTGTCGACGAAGTGTTACTGTAGTATCGTATATTACGAAGAGAATGCGACCATAGCGCGAGTCCTCGATCGCGCGGATCGACTGCCAGTCGAACTTAGCCAAATCGTGTACCGGATGAGCGTTGCGTCTTCCGCCGTTGGCCCTGTTGTTGCTACGGTGATTTTGGTACGGCTGTATAGGTGAAGTGGGCTTGACACTGAACCATTTATAGCAAAACCATTGCGGCCGATATCGAACAAGCAGCATCGCACGCTTTCGACAGTTTACCGGCAACGGTGTTCCCCACACGTCGTGAATAGGTGTCTCGTCTAGCTATTGTAATAGTATACGCGGATGCTCTGACAAGTGACTTCTGTTGCGACAGGTCTAGATCACTAACGAAACGGACGCACCCGTAACGATGTACACGCTCAGATACTAAATCGATAGCTCGACTCGTTTATGACTCTAGTTCTATTAGTAATTTTGCAGAAGTATTAGCTGCTGCCGAACGACAGCGTAGCTGTTATTTTTGTTACGTTCGCAAAGCTACCGATAATTTCGGTATACGGGTCACGGCTTGCCCCTGTTGGAATTATTGCCCATTGACATTAATGTTGTTGTGCTGTTTATGTCGTAAAGATAGTCGTACCTGCCAGACGGATCTAAGGTCGTTTTTTCACGGCGCCAATAAGCGTGTCTATCCAATATTTGTAGCAGCAGTGAAAGTCGATAACAAACTCTCTGCTCAGTAGATACGTTGAAAGTTCGCTTGCAGTAATACTTCGCGTGGCAATCGAACAGAAGCCTCAGGAACAGGTGGGTGACAATTTTGATAACGACGACTCCTGTTAAGGATTCATCATCAGCGAGTGGACGACAAGCCCCCTTTATGACTTTAATAGAAAAAAAACTATTTATGCAGTATATTGCCTAGGTACGCGGACTATGGAGATCGCACCCCCGGAGTGTGCGGCATTGAACCAGCTGATAATTAAAAGCATTCTCTGTGCTTCGCCCCCGGCTATTCGAAAATAAATGAAGTTTCATTTCCCTTCAAACTGGGATCTGAGAAAGCTATCGGTTTCGCCCTTCTAGGATAGTAGATTCGACGGGTAACATATATTGTGTATTATAAAATCCTCCCAGGATGCCAACTACAGTCACTGACTACCGATAATGCGTAAAGTTAAACTTCTTGTTTGATCGTGTACTTTTCGGACAAGGTCTTTTTCGAACGTGTATGTATATGTTGGAGTAGTTGAGGATCGTCGACCGCTACCATACATCGTAGCTTGTTAATACGGTTGAAGTCCTCAATCAAATCAACGGTAAGCTTCACTGTATCGTATTTCGCAGAGTCAAATGATAATAGTAATAATAAGCTTAAAATGTCGTTTTTTTTTTTGGCCTGGTTTATTTTGCTGCAATTAGATTTGAAAAGCAAGCATCGAGTAAGACAAAACTCGGATACCGCGTATTTCCTCTGCGAGGGCCTTGTAAACAATAGGGCAAAGGGTCGATTTTACGGCACAAGAAGCTATCTTGTTTGCACCATTTTAAACACTTGTTTCGATAGAATGGGTATGAACGTCACTCTATCAAGTAGTGCTTTTCTATATCGATTTCATAATATGATGTATCACAGCATCTGAATGAAGGTACAGTGGGAAATACTGATTTGAAATATGGGGTTCGCACATGTGCAGGAATAGGCGCGGTATAAGTTTGGCTGCTGTTCATTAAGATACATTCATTTTTTTTTTTTTTTTATTTCAAAAAGGGTTTAATTCATACGATTCGCTTGAAGGTGTGATACGATGAAAATCAGGACAAAAAAAAAGTCTTGCAAGCAATCGTTTAATTTCAGAGCTTTAATTTCAGTGGAATGCGATCACTGAAGGTTCGTACATCTTCAGTGTACGCAAAAGCTCAAATTATTACTGTAAAATCGGAATACTACGTACTAAATTATATTAGACAGCCACCATAATTCTTCGACGAGTAGCTGTCGGCCGCTAGATTCGGATAGACACGGTGCTTACGAAACGTATCCCGCTATAAATAAACGTAAATCAAAACCGTTGCGGATACTGATGACTGTATCGTCTACGTGGATGTATTAGAAAAACTTGGCAATAAAGCGTTTGTGGGACATTTTCTTTATGTAGAAATGTCCGCTCTAGTGGATGTAGTACAAAATCCACTAGGTGGTTCTGAGCACAACTATATATTTATAAACGAATCACGTTCGGAATGTATCTGTCTCAGTTCAAGATAGTATCGGAAAAAGTGACTATATCTATACGCTGTACGGGAAAAAAAATTGATGTACTTTTACTGACAGATAACTTCATGGAGCGCATTAAAAAAATCCTGTGGTGACATCTATGGCCGGATAGCAAATAACATAATCTTTTTAATGTTTTGATCATTACCATATAATGTGGAACTACATAACGTAATGTTGACAACAAGGTAGCGCGGCTTCAAAGTTTTACCAAGAAGAAACAAATCGAATGAATCAGCTGATGACAACTTCGTTAACCTTACGACAAAGTTTTCCCGAAGTTATCCTAGTTAGAACTATATGATATGTTTGTTAGAGCTTTGCTTGCAAAATCAAGCAGCGTTTGCTGGGTATTTGTAAGCATTCCCGATATCGCTTGTTATTTACGGTGCAAATTGTTATTACTTAATAACAAAGCTGTGTCTCGTCTTGATTCATGGACTTACATTTGTAATAGGTCTTGTAGGCCTGCTTTAGTGTTTATCGTTTCGGCACGACCTGTTTCTGGCAGTTAGGCTTTAGGATAGGGCGATGATGGCAAGGCATTAGTAAAGATGCTGTAGTTCAACGCCACTCGGTCTGATGCCAGCAGTCCCTCGATCATAAAGCGCTGGCAGCACATGTAATTATAAAAATTGACGAAACCCGTTACTTTTCACTTGGTCTGATAGTTTTTTTCTGATGTTATCTCACCTGAATTTTGACGCAAATAAGGGCTAAACGTGCCACTTTTTTAGATAACCAAAGTCACGGCTACGCCATAAACTTTGTTAAATCAAGATTTCTAATCATTACGTGATAAAGTAAGTAGCGTAAATATACGCTCGCATATATAGCTTAAATATAGTCCATGCCGGCCGAACAGAGAAACTAATGAGGATTCCACGTAAATTGTGTTTCATTATATTCCTGCAACGTCTTTAGAAATCTTAGAAGAACAACAATAGCTCAACTTTCACGTTATACATCAACAATGTTGAAAACAACTTGAGGGAATTACAACGACTCATTTTCCTTGTGCAGGTGGATTTTTTTCATTTAGCTGACTATTGTAAACTATTGAAGTTTCCAAATCGTCAGCGCTGCTCGTCTGGGAGGCTCT